GAAATAACATTTATCGATCTTTACACATAATCACTGTACGATTATAAATTGGTTGTATAACCAAAATTTTTGACATGATACCAATAAATTTTAATACGCTGATTATTTGCCATATTCGTAACCTTCAAAGAAGTTAATAATATATTATAATGTAATTTGTTCCTGATATTAATACAAAGAAGGTCTCAATAACGAAGCAGCAGATATATAAAAAAAAATTTTAATTGTAATTTACATGTAATCAGTATTCTCATACAAAAGTACCGGGCTGTGCCGAAATGTTACACCGATCAAGCGATCACGTTTGATTTTTATCTCACTCGCTAATGTCCGATTGATTACAAAAATTTTTAATTTTTTTGGTGTTTTTATCATTTTAATATCTCCGATTAAAACGCTTCTATTCGTGAAGAAAGTTTTAATTAACCAAATAACGGAAATTAAGTGTTATTTAAACTACCACGTAATTCGAAACTTTACTATTGAACATCAAACCAATATTCACTTTTATGTATAGATAGAAACTTAGTTGAGATACATCAAAACTATTTGTAGTACTACTACGATGTAATCACCTAAATATTATTTTAATATTTAATCGCTTTTGTGGAAAATATATAAATACAACAAAAAAACAACCTTTTCTTCCACATAAAATTTACGATGAATCATTCAAATAATATTTCTCGCGATTCTTCAAATCAAACAATTTACTCAACTAACAATCATGAAGAATCCTCTTTTATGGATAATGCTTCAACTCAATCCTTTCCTATGACCAACTCATCGTCCTATCGAATTCTTCGAAATCGTCGAATTCAAAGAAGAATAAGACATGATGGAAATACATATACATTGATGAACAATCAATTCGCAAACCAATTGCTTAATGGATCCAATTTCTTTTAATGTATTCGTAAAATATCATTCTTTCGCTTATTCTTAATTCAAATAATTCTTTGAAAACTTACCTTTAAATTTAATGGCAAAATTTATTTTTCCGATTCGTATTTTAAATTATCGTTGGCAAAATCATTTTCGAAATTTAAATTCATACATAATTTATATTTATATTTGTTTGTTCCTTTCAATTATTTACGTCTTCTCATTCAAAATAGCATTTATTTTTTCAGAAACATTCTTGAATATCTCGACAATTTAAAAAGCTCACGTTTATAGTTTATATAAAACTAGTATCAAATTGATCAATTTGTCTAATTAAAATTTCATAAATGAAATATATTTTTTTTTTGTTAGTTTAATTGTATTTATTTTCGGATCGTCATGTCGGTATATTTTTTCCACTGAATTCTTCGCGTAATTTATATATTCCTTTTTTTTTACCAATAAAAAAAAATTGTACAAGTAGTGTCCGTTAAAGGTTTCTTTCCCATATTTTTTAAAAGATTTGGACCTTTTTCACGTGATTTTATTTTCCTAAGTTGACACAAAGTTCTTAAGAGTTTTCGTTAGAAAAAAAAAATGGCATGTTTTTTTTTATATTGTTTATTTTTAAATTGAAAAAATAATTAATAGATAGCTTTGATTGCCAAAGTAGGAAAATTATTTTAGCCGTTTCAAAGAAGATTTTTTTTTTCTTTTTTCTGTTATAAACCTAGTAATTTTTTATACCTAATCGCAAGATCGCACTTTATTATTGTATAAATAATACATTGAAGAAATACGTGTAATATAAAATAAAATACTTAAATGAAAAATCGATTTGAGTATATGAACATTTGGAATATTTTCAATTATAAGTTATACAAATATATATTTCAGCGGTACAACGATAATAAGTATGATATGACCCTCGTTGTATGTATGGTATGGTCAAATATTAGCTATACTATATAGAATTTTAATACGAAAGTAGGTACCATACTAACCATACATACCTTATTTCAGAGCATAATAGTAGGAATATTTTTAAATCTGAATACAAATCTTAATATATTCGGAAGACCAATTATCTGTATAACAATATAATAAACATTTAATTGTTCTTTAAATTTATCATTTGTTTTATATATAATATCAGTTTTATAAACTCAAATAGTTTCCAAGTTCTTATTTTTCTATTTTTTTTTATTCAAAAATAAATTTTTATTTTCTGAATATGATTATTATATTATGCTCCTTAAAATAAGACGCCAAATGTTTTATTAAAAAAAAATAACAAAGGTTAATAAGCGAATTCCCGCATACTAGTTTTCCGTTAAAGTTTGAAAATAGCATTAACCTTGCGTATATCAATTAAAATAAAATAAGCTATCTAGTTTTAATTCTGATTGTTCTCTTCATGATTAAAGTCCATTATAAAAAAAAGTCTTAGCTTATAAAAGCTAACTTTAAAAATGTAGATCCAAAAAAATTTTTTATATTATTAATCATTTGGCGTGAATGATAAAAGGAAATTTTCGATTTTTTTATACAGTCTAATCAATATAACGAACACATAACGAACTCTTGATTTACCGAACTATTTTTTAAAAACCGTTTTCATAATATTTAAAAACATCTTGATATACCGAATAAACTTTATTGATTTACCGCTTATTTATTTATTTATTTATTTATTTTATTTCTAAAAGAGTTGGTTATCGGGATCCAATACAGTATTTATCATATGTACATAGAAGAAACAAAGAGGATAACTAAATATTGGAAGATCGACATTCATCCCAGCGCCAGGACCTACCCTTTGATGGTAACTACTATTTTAATAGTGAAACTACGCTACTGAAAAAATTAAACGAGCTAAATAAAAAAGAATCATGACCCTAAAAAAAGTAAAAAAAAATAAATTAAAATCCGTATTTTGCTTTTGACCAAAGGCCGCTACTGTTAGAAGTGGAATGGTTCACACAATTCTAAATTGTTTAAAATGTTAATGATGTAGTAATAGTTTGATTATAAACTACATTAGTAAAAATTGTTGACTCTAAAAATTATTCCCTCCTTCAACCAAAGAGTCATTTCTTTCGGTCGAAGAGCGGGGCTTTTTATCTGCATGAGTAAGTCTATGTGAGTCCAGGTTGTAATTGCTTTGTTGCTAACATTTCGCTTGTATAGGCGTGTTTCTAAGGATTTGGTGTCATCTGAGGTGTTACCTTTATACCGGTATTGAGGTTGATTTGGATCAATGACTGAGAAGTAGTCTAGTTTGAAATTGTTGTATTCCAACTCAAGTTTGCAGGATTTTTAATTTTAGTATGACGTTGGTTGAATGAAGTCATACGTTTGTGAAATTTATTCTGGAAACGAGTAAGATCACGTGTCATGTTGGCGTGTTATTCTAGTTTGTTTGTAGATGTGCCGAGTAGCTTTGCTTGGTTGGACTCATCTAGGAGACGTCGTTTGATTTTTCTTAGCATCAAATTGACCGCTTATTATAAAACATAATAAAAATTTTTGATATACCGAACTTAGTCACATGATTTGCCAAATTAATTAATTTCGGCCAGAATTAGAACCATTTAATTTTTGCCTAAATTGATGCCAAAACATATTTAGTTCTGGACAAAATTGGGATATTAATCATGCGATTTTCTTGATATACCGAACTTTATAATATTGAGATTTGACTATTACTTTTTTTGGAAATTTCCGGAAAGTTTCGGAAAGTTTCAGGTGAGTACAGCTCCGGTTATCTGCCAGCACCATTACTTTAAAATCACGTGATAATTTAGCCGGCATTAAGAAATTAGGCATAATTTTGGCCAGCATTAAGAAAATTTTATTTGACATATGGGCCGATTTGATGCATTAAGTAGTAAATTTGTTATTTATTAAAATTTTTGTTAAAAAATTTCAATGAAGTATTTTTTTTATATAACAATAATGGTAAAGAGTAACAAATTTACTTTAGTTACAATGTTATCATTTTTGGCAAGATAGTATAAAGTAATAATAATAATTATCTATCGTCTCCTCAAAAACCTGTTGTCCACCTGTTGGACATGCCGTAATTTTGGCCGAAAATACCATAATTTAGCCTAATTTCTCTTATATCCAATAATGTTGGCCAAATCCATTTTATGCGTTGAATCAGCCCATGGATGTCTTTTATAATATAAGATTTTCTTTAATTTGTGATATAAGATGCAACAGGGTGAAAGTGATGGCATTTTTGGAATAGTGCGCAAAAATTTTTGGTGAATATCATAGAAATTCATGAAATTTTACCATAAATGGCAGGGGCCAAATTTCGAAAATTTCATATACGATATTATGAAATTTTGCCAGATAAAACTAATAATAACTTTTTTACAATGATTGTAATCTGAAAATACGGGTTAAGATCTATTAAAATACGATGAGTTTATTACGATAAATATAATAATTTTCAAGAAGTAGATACAATTTATAAATAGGATAAAAAAATTTGCTGAGACTAGATGACGGGAGCTTTATAAATTTTTAACTAGATCACTACTCATGCTTATTTTGAAAAAAAAAAATGTCTAGGCTAAAGTTAACAAAAATGGCCATCCGATTAAATATAAATCGTTCCCACGGTTTTGGTAACAACAACTCATTAAAAAATATAGGGTAGATCATGTGGTTGTCGCGGCCTTTCCGTCCGAAAATGCATTTTGTGTAAAATTGTCTAATAAATAACGTATGTAGTGTTAAATATGCGTTATTTATGTACAGTATAATGATTTTTTATTAACTATTGTTAAAACTGATATTATCGAAACTACGCGGTTCATCACGAAGTAACTCCTTTTTTATTATGAGTTACGTAACTTCCCTTTATTAATCTTACAAAGTCCGCTTTTAGCCCAATTAAGCAAATAAGAAAATTGACATTATTTTTCTTTTGAAATTTCTATATCAATTCGTTTACTTTAAAATTTTTTTTATTTATTATTGTTCAATTGACATCTAAATCAATATAATAAGTTTTTTTAACAGCTTAAAATTAAATACGTTCTATAGAATTATTTATAATATTCTTATATATTTACTTTTTTAGTAATATATATAAAAATCGTTAATAGCGATCGTTATTGAATTAGGTAATTTCTATATGTTTAATAATAAGTGTGGCTTTGCGACGCCATATTCATTCATGCATGGGGTAACCCCGGAATATTCCATACGCCTAAAAATTTAACAATTGCCTTTTAAGTTGTCATTACGGTGGATGCCGTTGAGAAATAGATAAATAAAAAATGCATCTTTTATTTTATTAAAATTTTATAAATGACTATTGTATGTATTTTTTTTCCATTTCTTACATTAGACTCTTTACACTCTTTTTAATTCATAAGGCGTTAGTGTATATAATGCTATTGGTTTATGAATATTATTATGTTCATAAGACGCCAAATATCTTATTAAAAGTAACAAAGCCTAATAGCGGAGTGCTGCATACTTTAAAGAATTATCCATCCCATATAAACTGACCCACTCGATACACTTAAATTCGTACCTTTTCTGACATAAGTGTTGCCTTGGTCGATCTTGATTTGTTTGTTTACGTTGCAAATAAACATTAAAATTATTTTGTGAAGAATTATAATTCATAAGTTTTATTATTTTTGATTAGTGTATTTTTTAAGAATGAATAAAGAAAAATAACATGAAAAAAATAATTTGGAAAAAGGTTTATTGTGACATAAGGTATTAGGTATGTTTAGTAAAGAAAGACACATATTTTGATTAAAAAAACAAAAATTATATATAAAATTGATAGTTATCAACTTAATTAATTTGTGAAATTTGTGAAAATAGATTTTTTTATTAAAATAATAATATAAACTAAATTTAAGATAATCATCTAAACTTGTATTCGTCAGAAATCTTAATCCTTGGCAAATTGTTGAGGAAAAATTAAAATTAAGGGGTACATTAATATGTAAGTAGCTTTCTAATCATATAATAATGATACTTTCAGCTTAACATAATTAAAGCTGCAGTTAATATGAAAGAGAACGTATTATCACTTTACCGATCTTTTTTTTTTTTTTTTTCATTAAAAAAAGTAATTTAACGAAGTGATATCGATATGTAAAAAATAAGTTGCAAAATCTAAATTAGGCGTGTAAGCCGTGTAATGTACGCTAGATTTCATGATGTTACACAAAACTTAAATTCGTGATATCTTAATTTAATAGCGCTATAAAAATTTTAATAGCAAAATTCAAATATATATTTAAACTCTTTTAAGAAGTTCACAAAATAATTTGAATATTGGAGAGATAATTCGGAAGTTACATGTATGTTAAAGTTTCTCATAAAATAGTAATATTATACTTTATGATTCTGTGAAAGTCTTATCGTGTTACATCATATCTACATATGACTGAATTTCAATCCCGACTTTTATTACTGAAAGAATTTATAAAAAAAAAAAAGATTGAACTTGTTTTATGATCTTTTACTTAAATAAGTAAGTTGTCTTTCTACAACCTTAAGAAATAAAATATTTTATTTTAACCAATAATCTGCGAACAACCGATTTACTAAAGAATTTATATAATGAATTTATATATAGTTATTATAGTATATATGATCAAAAAACGATCGTTACACATGAAGGTTGTGGTTGTGTCACATTAATAAATAAAATAACGAATATAAAAATTTATTCATTCTAATTGTTGTTTCAAACAATGTTTCACAAGATCACAAAATTGGGCTAATTCAGGGGTGATGAAATTACAGTTTTCATAATTTTTCACGATTTTCGACCTCATTGACTTAATAAGAAACAAGAAGGTTTCATAGAAAAAAAATATTTACTTAATAGGCCAATCTTGGCATCTACTCAATGCTTTTAGAATGATCATTATTTATCCAAATAAAAAAGTTTTTTTTTCTATTTTCTCTGATTTGAAAGATTTCTCAACACAAGAATTACGCCAAGTATAGTCCTGCTGATCAGTGACAATACAAATCGAAAGCACTGCGTATCTGCGCAAAATGATAACTTCTTTGATTGTGTTAACAAAAAAAAAAAAAAATTTTTTAGTTCAATTAAGATTTCAAGGGAATTATCTGAAACTTGAACAATTAAAAAAACCTGATTACGTGAAATAATTTAATTTGATAAAACTATTTTTTTTTGAAAATAATTTTCTTCGTACAAAGCATATGGGACCCTTAATTGTTGTATGTATTTCTTTTACACTATTAATTATATTAATAAGTAATGCAATTTATATACGCACGTCCTTGTATTTGTAGGCAAAATATCTTCGTATGAATTAGAAAACGAAAATTTATCTCTTATTCAAAATTGAATGATCGATTTATGAGTTTTATTTAAAAATTTTAAAATGATGATATCTTAATAATTACATAAATTTATCTTAAATTATGTTCTAAATACATCATGCTTTACAAAACTTAATCTTTATTAAGAAGGAATTTTCATAAATCGTAATTTATAAAAGATTGCAGAAAATTCGGATCTACAGAAGTATGAATTATATTAAATTTAGCAAATATCAATAAAATAATACACAATAATTTTCTCACCTGCTAATTTTATTTTCAAAATTAACGGAAAATAAATCCGTTAAAAAATTGGTTAATTGACAAATCATTTGTAATTTGTTGAGGAAGATTCGCGATGCGTCTCAATGTATTTCCATTATTAATTGGCGTGTTAAGTCGATTATATCTTCTATATATCTTATTTATAATTCTTTGCCTTCTATGTCTCTTTCGAGAAAGCATAATCGTTTATATATTATCGTATACGTGTATATGTGTATAAATATGGTTTTTTTTTAATTTTTTCAATTTAAATTTTCTTCCTATTTTTGAGGGAGTTGATAATTAACCCGTCGTATTTATATGTAAATTAAATTTGTTGATATATGGAATAATTGTATTACTTTTTTTTTACACCAAAAAATTAATATAACCTAATTCACATGTTACCGTGAAGAATTTCTCTGAGGCGAGACGCGCATATTTTTTTATGCAATACAAATAGGAATTGAATTTCCTTTTATTGGTTCAATTAAACAAGATTGATAAATTTATATCCATCAATCTTTTATGAGTCTGATTGATTTAAACTAGTTTTTTAATAATGAAGACAACTGTTTTCTATAGAAAGGTTATACACGGTACAGTACTTTAATATCTATTATAGTTTCAAATCCGGTACGGTTTATTTTTTTCACATGAGATTTGAAATATAACGAATATAACGTACTTAATAAACGAGTTAATGAATAACTAACTATGGAATTTATAACGTATAACGTCATGTGAGCTGTTTACAACATTCTTGTTTTAAAAAAAAAACGATCACGTGATTGTGATTCCAAACCTGATGACTAAAATACTCGCATACTCATTCCGTTACCAATGTTGAATTACAAAAGTATTCATATATATAGTAAAAGAATGACATAAGATAATATTTCGGACTTTTAACTAATTACTGTAAAACCCATTTATTTTGAATCACAACTTTCAAAATCGCGAAATTAATTTATTCTTATTTCATTCATCGGTTATTTCATATACACTGGATAAGTTTCCGCTTCATACAATTAATGATTCCAATATAAAAAAATTATGATTACATAATATGTTGTTTCATACATTTAGAATGTTGAAAAATCGGTAATCATTAGTAAGTGATATTTAGAAATTATTAGTATGCAGCAAATGCCAAGTTGTCACTGTATGTTTGCATGTTCCAGAGAATGTTTAACGGGATTTACTACGAAATCCAGAATCCCATTATAATGCAAACCCGTAATCCCGAAAATTCAAAATTCCAACACTCATTATCCCGACACTTAATACCTTCATGCATACAAAAATTTTAACCAAGCCACTCCAAATTACTTCGTAATCGTTGTTTTATTAGGAATTACTGTTTACTGGTGATTCAGCAGCCTTAAGTATAGTAGCAGCGATGCTTCACCGAAAACTGCGACTTTTACGCCATATACCCTATAAAAAAAGTTCTGGAAAAACTCAGACAAACGATCATTATAGGGAATATTGTAATTATTAATTTTTTTATTTAACTAGAAAAAGAAATTCTCAGATCAAATTATAGATAAAAATAAAACACCTTGAATCAGTGAATCACATGTTGATCAATATCGATGAAATATTTAAACACTGTCATTTTCGCGTTTGAACATTCAAGAGAAAAAAGAAGAAACGAGTCTCTTTTTAACAACTCAATAATTGCCTTAATAACCCAACGCATCTATTTATCTATAGTTATAAATATTTAAAGATACATAATCTTGTTTATCCAATAAGATCTATAATAAAATAAATAAGAATTAGTAATTATTACTTGTTATGATAATATTATATAGTCATAGAACTTATTTACATTTCAAAATAACGTTAAACTTACTGGCAAGAACTTAGTTGATGTTATTAATAAATATTTTCATCGAATAATCCCAGTTGTATCTTTTTCTTCGTTTCTAGTTTATTAGATAAATAATTTGATCAGTTCCAACCAAATCGAAACCGGTGATAATATAAAGTAAAAAAAATGAAATTTATTTTTCTAACTAATAACTAATAATAATTCATTATTATAAATTTTGCGAAGTATTATTAAAAGACTATTTCTATTTGTACAGTACACTAGTGTGCGAAACACGGATCACGTGTTTATCATACTTTCCGGTGATCTACATAAAAATTTCCTTTTTTTGGAATTTTGTGTAACGAATTTTTATTTTTACTAAGAATCAAAATTGCCTTTTTTGGATTGTGTAACGTCACTCCAGTATCCAAAAATGGAAATTCGGGTAAATTTTGGCTGGAATTATAAATTTGGCCGAAATTATAGGGCGCGACATATAATATGTGACAAATAAGGTTTTTCTTACTGAAAAAATTTGTCCCTATAATAAATAGTAAAAATGGAAAACTAGAAGGGTGTGACATGGGTGACAAATTAAAGTCACGTGACCCGTGTTTCGCACACTAGTGTATTTTAAGAAATTTTCTTATTAAAATTACTAAATATTAATAAAAATTTATCAATTTTTAATAAAACATTAACAGTTAATCTTCGAAATATTTTAAAAATCTTTAGATATTTTTAATTAGTTCTTAACTTTTGCGACTTATTAATAAAAAAAAATAATTTTTTTAAAAAAAAGATAGTAGTGTTGGTATAATGAGTGTCAGGATTTTTAAATTTTCGGTTTTGGGATTCTGATTTTACGGAAAATCATTGTTATGTTACACGAAAAAAAATTTTATCCGTTCCAAAACAATGATTATAATGATCCGTTATTAAAACATTGAATTTTCGTTTTAATGAAATAATTCGGTATCAATGCCGTTTATTTAATTCGTGATCCGTATAACAAGTAGTGAAAGTCACTATTCAAATTCGGGGAAAATAAAAAAAATCGTTTTTTGCGATTTTCTCGTGATTCAGTAATTCAATTTCGATGAACATTTTTTTTTCGTGTAGCTCTTCACACCCTCTGCAAAATAAAAAAAAGTTCGTCGAAATTGGACCAATAGATCGTAAGATAATACAAAACTGATTTTTTTCGGAACGTGGCTAGATT